AGAAATCATAGTGGTGTAGAAAAAAAAATACTGATCACTTCCCCAATGTTACCATTACTATGGTAACATTATACTACTCTGGCTACAGTGTATTATGGCAAAAAAAATCTTAAAAAAAAGAAAACAATGTAATAAAAAATAAATAAAAAAAATTAAACAATTGAAAAAAAAAAATTTCCAAAAAAATGACAACTTCAAAAAAACTCGCCATAAATACCTTAGAATGTCTACTTTGCAAAAAGGGGTCATTTTGAGGATATCTGTACTGTCCTGAAATTTTTTTGGGCCTTAAGAAATTAGATTGGCCATCAGTACTTCAGGATTGATCCATTTCAGATATATCCCAGAGTTTGTAAACTCTATAACTTTCCTACAGACTAAAAAATAAACACTGATTTGGATTATTTTCACTAAAGAACTGTAGCAGAACACATTTTGGCCTAAATTTATGAAGAACAATTATTTTATTTGTATAACAGAAACAAATAAAAACGTGGGGCTTTTTTTTTTTTTTTTTTGTTTTTTTGGGGGTTTTTTTCTAAATTTTTGGTCTTTTTTCAATGATTTAGCAAAAAATAAAAAGTCCAGTGGTGATTAAATACCACCAAAAAGAAAAGCTGAGTAGTTGTGTGATCAAAACAGTAAAAATGTAGTTTGGGTACAGCGTGGAAGCTGAAAATTGGCCAGGGCAGGAAGGGGTAAAAGTGCCTGGTATTGAAGACTTAATAATGAAAAATAAACCTATTTTACTTGGGATACATGTAAAAAAAAAAAAAAGTACCTGAATGTTACTTGAGTGTTTTTGAGCATGATGAAACAAGTGTGAGCATTGCATTGCACATCTTGCAGCCTTGGCAGATTCAGATTATTTTCTTGTTGTGCAAGCAGTGTCATATCAATTAGCTTGTATGTCTCTCAATCCCAACCCCACATCCTTCTTTACAGAATAGGTTTGGTATTAGTCACACAGTTGGTACTCCACCCAGTCTCTTCATTTCACAAAGAACTTCTATTGCATATCTATAAGAAATATTAGTTGTAGTTTAACTCAAAAAATAGTGAAGCCAGTCAGTCAATATAACAGTCATATAACTAATATTTTCATGAGGGCAGCAATGGCAGTGCCCAGATATATTGCATGATAGGTTTACTTAGACTATAACTTTACTTTACTTAGACTCTATTAGCATGCATTAAAAATTGTTTTTACTCAACAGATAAAACTATAATTCTACGACTTTACAAAACTTTGGTTCGACCGCATCTTGATTATGCCAGCCAGTTCTGGTCCCCAGTCCTCAGGAAGGATGTGCTGGAACTGGAGTCCAGAGAAGGGCAACAAAACTAAGAGGGGTTGGAGGACCTCAGTTACGAGGAACGATATTAAACTTATTCTCCCTGGAGAAGAGATACCTAAAAGGGGATATGATAGCAATATACAAATATCTTAATGGTTGTGATTCCAGCAGGTCACTCAAGAAGACACGTGGCCACTCACTGAAGTGGACGAGAAGTGGTTTAATCATAAAGTGTGTAAGGAGTTTTTTACAGTTAGAGCAGTAAGGATGTGGAAGCCCTAATCAGTGGTTTCAGTGGGAAATGTCGCTAAATAAAAAAAAAAAAAACTCTTAGAAGGGCATCTTATTGAACACAATATACAGGGATATAGGAAGTGGTAGACACATAAATACATAAATACACACACACACACACACACACAAACTTTACTCAAACTTACCACCTATGTAACTCATTCAGCTCATCTATGGCCACTTATAAATTAAATATCAATTTGGTCAACTCTGACCTTTAAGAATTTAGTTTGCCTCTGTCATGCAGTAATGTTGGGGATTTTATGACACTACAATAAGCAGATAATAGAATAACATTTTTTATCTATTAGAATGGTTGTAAACCTCATAAATAAAAAATGAATAAGGCATATCACTCTATAGCGTGTACGTGTCTCAAACCAAAGCAGCGAGTGTGATTTCTGTCTGCTCTCACTCCTGACAGCTTATGCTGACACCACAGAAACACACCCCCCCCCCCCCCAGCACACAGCAGGTGACTGACAGCCTCAGTTGCCTTATGAGATTGTGTAGAGGGGGGGTGTCTGTACCCCCTACTCAGGTCTCAGATTACACTTGTCTCTATATGCTATGCTATACCATGTGTGATATCAGATCCTCACTCCCTGCCTGCTGGAGTTCAGATATAGCCTTTGGTCGGTGTACTTTAAACAGCTGTAGAGGTGAGAGGGCCATAGATAAACTGGTACAACTTATGTAGGCGGATTGTTTCATCTCTGTGTATCATCTAAGGCTAGTCACTTCAATAGTGGGTATATATAAAGGTCTTACAACCACTTTACGTTAACAGAAAGACCATCGCCACAACTATAGTAATGTCTGGGTAAGGCAATGGTCTTGGCCAGGGCAAGGATGCAATTCTAATTAAAAAGCCGATATCTTGATTTCTAGTTTAGTCAGCCTGCTGAAATACAACGTTCTTCACTTTAAAAAGTATCATTCATTTTTGTACCTGTGCTGTAAAATCTGAAAATCTACTTTTGTATGCAGAAAAAAACTCTTAAAAAACTATTTTAAATTAGACAACATATGTGCAAAAACAAATAGGTACATACCTTTAGACTGCACATAATGTGCCTATTCCACGTCACTTGCATTTAATTACCTTACTTACAGCGGCAAATAATTTCCCACACATCACCTGTAATAAAAATGTGTAGCCTAATAGCATTGAAAGTATTTATCACATGGACGAGCCCTATGTGACTGCTCACAGATTGTTCCCTTTTTTATTGAGAACCATTTGCTGCACATGCTGGATACCAATAAAGAACATTGTAGCTGAGTGCCTGTTTATTCACCATGCTCAGATACAGGCACAGGTCCCATTAACTCTTTTTTTGCCACAGCTCCTTGTGCTCATGGACACACCTAGGAAAGATACGCTTCTGTGCTTCCTTCTCCTTCCTTCAGCAGGATAGGCAGAGGATGAATCAAAGCTAGCTAGGCAAGTGATCTGCAGTCAAGTGGGAGGCACTCGACTGTCTGAACTGGTGTGCAGGCAGAAGGGCTGCAGCCTAATAACATACAGTTTCTTCAAAAGATCTAGCTACTATGGAAAGTCCTTCATTGACTGCTACCACAGTACTGCAGTTCCAGCAGGACCTGGGCCCCCTCTAGCTGTTCACCTCTGTTACCAGAGCTACCATGGGCTGTACTACAGGGTATGCTGTTTATGAGAATATCTTAAGTAGTTTTATTTATTTATTTCAGGTTCTTATATGGTGCCATCAATTTACACAGCGCTTTACTTATATATTGTACATTCACATCAGTCCCTAACCCTCAAGGGGCATACAATCTAAGGTCCCTAACTCACATTCATACATACATATACTAGGGCCAATTTAGACAGAAGAAAGAAAGGAGAGAAACAGGAGACAAGAGAGAGGGGAAGAAAGAAGGAAAGAAAGAAAGGAGAGAAACAGGAGATGGAGAGAGAGGAAGAAAGAAAATGAGAAAAAGAAAGGAGAGAAACAGGAGACAGTGAGAAAGAGAAAAAAAGAGAAAAAAAGAGAGGAAAACAATGAGAGAAACAGGAGACAGAGATAAAGAAAGGAAAGAGAGGAGAGAAACAGGAGACAGAGGAAGAAAGAAAGAAAAAAGGAGAGAGAAGGGGGGGGCGCTGGAAGAGATGAGGGAGGGGGCCGCTGGAGGAGATGAAGAGGGGGGCCACTGGAGGAGAGGAGGATGGGCTGTTGGAGGAGATGAGGGGGGGACTGGAGGAGATGGGGGGGTGCTGGAGGAGATGAGGGGGGCGCTGGAGATGAGGAGGGGGGCGCTGGAGGAGATGGGGGGGCCACTGGAGATGAGGGAAGGGGGCCACTGGAAGAGATGAGGGAGGGGACCACTGGAGGAGATGAGGGGGGCTGCTGGAGGAGATGTGGAGGGGGCCGCTGGAAGAGATAAGGGAGGGGGCCTGCTGGAGGAGATGATGGGGGGGGGTGCCGTATTGGAGCATACAGGAGCCAACAGCATGCAGGAGATGGATAGGAGAGGCGGCTAGGTAAAGGAACCGAGAACTGCGCGGTCCTTTATGTGCCGCCCAGGCGCCTCTCCTAATCAGATTCAAATGCCCGCTGTGCCCTTTGGCCAGTCTGGGCCTGCACATACCGGGGCTGCTGCTAGGTCAGGACCTCTAGGTTCACCCTGCTGTAGGTGCAGAGACAAGCTATGCAAGAGGACATGCAAGCAGGAGTACATGTAGGCAAAGACAAAGAGAAGATCTGGAAAACAGGCCAAAGGTAGGGCAGGCGGCAAATGTGCAAAATCCGAAAGGCAATGCTAGGGTTAGTACACAGAAGATCAATCCATGTACAGTAAATAACAGGCAGGACAAGGAGTAGCAATAGGGAGCTCAGAGACAAACAAGAAAGTTGCTCAGGAAATGGGAACTGATCCAAGCAGAACCTAAATCACTGATGGACTTTGGGAAGCTGGACAGGGAATGACCTAGGAGAAAGGTATGTTATTCAGCAGAAGAGGCGGACAATGCCCATAGCTGCTAGCTCTGTGCTGCAAGGACCCACGAACAGATCGCATGGTTGTAGAACCACAGGTACCAGAGGTACCAGCGGAACCACAGCAGCAAGGCAAGCAAGCCAAATCCCATTCTTCATTTATTAATTAATGTTTAATGTTAATCTTCATTTAGGGCCAGTGGGCCTTCTCCCTGCACTGCATACTTTATGTATTCTTCAGCCTCCTCCTGACTTGAACTGGCTAATTACTTAACAGTAAGCTGCACCTTACTACAAAAAAATACATGATTATGGTAATGATGTATAGCTAATTATATCATGGAATTTGACATAAATAATCTCTTTATGTGAAGTCACTAATGACATCGGAGTAGTTGTGCACTCACACAATGGGCTTTTTTTCAGTAATTTTATATTTCTGTCTTCCATTCTATAGAAAGATCTGGAAGAAAAAATATCAAATTCTGGAAGGAAACTTGTAGTTGTTACTTTCTCATCTAAAGGTTGTGGTCCTTGCAGACCTGTGCCTGCTTGCTTGGAGGTAAGTGAACCTTAAAGAATTCTGAAGCCTTTAAAAGCAGGAAAAAAAATGTTGTCCAATATAACTTTTTAGCTGCTTACCAACAATGGAAATATGAGCCAAGCCAATCGAAATATAAACTAAATGTAGTAAAAGATTTGGCTGGATGCACACTTTAGGCTCATTAGACACATATTACAATATGATTGTACAAGTTCCTTTGCCTTTGTAGTGCAAGGGTCTGCTTGACTGGATACCGCTTGATTAGATAGTTTAGGTAGGTCCTCTTATTAAAAAGTGTTAATAAATCCAAAGTTTCTTGTACAAAGATTGTACAGTGAGATTGCAACATGTGCTCTAGTCCTAAATGAGATTTTATAGAAGCTGAACAAACAGAATGTAACGCTTATGACCAATTTAGGAGATCTTGTATATGGGTTTTTGTTTGCTTCTGAGCTTTTTTTTTCTTTTACATATCAATGTGAATGCACATGAAAATTGAATGCAGCTCAGAAGCCAGATTGATCTTCTTGAACAGATGAAAGGCAAAGCAACTCAAGCACAAATAATGTATACATATCTGTGCGGAACCTATTGCATTAGGATGTTCACCCCAAGATGAAACACACATGCACAGACACACACTTTATAATTAAATATAAACAAACATTTTAAAATGGATGGTGTCAGTAGGGCATAATTTTTATTATTTATTTTTTAATAATTTTTTTACAATATAATTTTACATTTTTTTCTTAATTTTTTTAGGAGCCCATTGGGCGCTAAACAGTCCCCTGATGTCTCCCATTTGAGACAGAGAAATAGACTGAGGACAGAGATTCCCCAGTCCCTTTCTCTGCAGCCTCAGCTACACTGGACCATGAAAGAATGGGAAGTGCTCTTTGCTAAGTGGCTTCTTATTCATTCACAAAATGAAGCATAGTAAACATAGTCTACTATGCTTCAGTTATGAATGATCACAGTGAGTAATTGGGCAGCAGAAGGGGGAATCTTTGCCACACGGGGTGATTAGGGTGTGCTCAAGCACATCTGTCACACTCTGTTGCGCATGCTTACGCAACTATGGGAAACCTACAGGAGTGAAATGAAGTCACATTTCTTTGGAGTATGAAATCCATCCCATACAAACCCTACCCTAGATTCACACCTAAGTGTTTTTCTGCAGTGTTTTTCATTTTGCAGAAATGCAGTACAGTCCATTAACATGATTTCCTATGGGACAGGTTCACATCTCCGCGTTTTCACCCGATGTGTTTTTTGGAAAGCGTCAGGGACTTTTTTGAATGCAAAACGTTGCGTTTTTTTTGTTCTATAGACTTTAATGGGAATGCTGCGGAAAAGCATGTATTGATTTTTGCTACATTTTTGCCGCTCTTTTAATGCATTTAAAAATTTGCCTAGCAACAAGAAAATGAAAAAAATTAAAAAAAAAGGTATCAAAAACGCTTAAAACAACCAAGTGCAAAACCGCAAAACGCAATGCAGAAATGCCTCAAACTCAACTTACACAGTTGTGAACCTAGACTAAGGCCTCCTTCACACTTTAGCATTTTGGTGCGTTAGAACAGTGTGTTGTGTCAAGTGTTAAGATTTGTTGCAGTATTACATTCAATTAACTTTAAAGAAGAATTCCATTATAGTAAGGAAACCTGGTATAAATCAGCACTTAGTAAACATTACAATATGATACGATATGAAACATTACGATATGATATGTTCCTGTAGTCTGACTTTTTTTTTTTTTCCTCAATTTTTCAGGCAATAAGTGAAGAAATGCCTGACATACTGTTCCTTAAAGTTGAAGTTGATAAAGATGATGTAAGTAGCAACACATAAACTCTGATAGCTTTATGCAGCTTAGAAAATGACTTGATCATTTCAATAAATTTTTCTACAGGAATTTTTACACAGCGTTTCCAAATCCCAGAGTACCAACATTCTATTACTTCAGGAATGGAACTGAAGTAGGTCCAGAAACTGAATTTATTTTCTATTTATTTACCATGACCATTTATTTATATGTAAAAAAAAAACCTGTTTTTAATGTTCCGAAAATTACTTCTGACATGGGGGTTACAAAAAAACCCAGAAACTGACTGGCCATCAAGCAGCCATTGTGCCAACAGCCTTCATTTTCCTATTTCTATCCTCACTTTCCTGTTACAGCAGCTGTGCCTGACATCCAGATATGACTGTGTAGTCTAAAAGGCACTAGTGCTCTCAATAATCAGCACTTAGTAATGGAACTGATCAGGCACATCCTCTTCTACAATATAAGTCTGTGTGAGGAGGGATGTGGCTAATACTTAGCTCTGCAACCACTAAATTATGAGTGGATAGGAGCATGTTTTTTAGGAAAAAAAGCATTTTAAGATGTTTCCAAATAAAAAATTGGTTACAAATATAATAGGGCACAGGGTTTAAACCACTTCAGCCCCTGCAACGTACCTGTACATCATCAGTTTGAAGGGGTTATACCAGAATGGCAATCATGTAGTATATATTGTATATTTTAGACATTCTATATGTTTTCTATATTTTCTATATTTTTTTTTTATTTTCATCTGTGGTTTTTTTTGACACTGTTGCCCCACCCCCATGTTGTGAATGTCCCGCCTATATGAAAAAGCTCACACATGCTCAGGGGCAGACTGACAAGTCATGGGGCCCCCGGGCAATAGTGGATCATGGGGCCCCTGTGTCCTCGCCCACACTCAAACCACACCCAAAAAAAGCCTATGAAAGGTACCAGGGGCATCTCATGGGGCCCCCTACTGACCCCGGGCCCTCGGGCGGTGACCAAGTTCCCAAATGGTCAGTCTGCCCCTGCACATGCTATATATAGAGGAGGGTATTCTCAGTTTGATTAGCTCTGGGGAAGAAGGGATTCCCCTTCAAAACATGTCAGCTTCATCCTGGGAGTCTCCCCTCTCGATGGGATCCGCATGTGTCTCCTATTCCAGTGCTTTGATGTTGGATTTTATATGCCTTAATTATTGCTACTTTTGTGAGTATATATCTCAATTCAATAAATTCACCCTTTGCTTACTGAGGGTAATGCGCAAGGTTGGTGCACTTTTGTTTTTGTTCTTTGTTACAAAATGTAAAAGTGATCCTAGTGGCGCTTTTACAGGTGTCCCTCACCCCCAGCATTTCTAGTTTCAGTCATTTTGAGTAGGGGCATATGATTCATGGACCATTTACTTCCTGGAATCCATCTACCCTTACCTCAGGCATGCAGATTGAAGGGTGTGCTTAGCTGAGAAATCTTCTCCTGAGAAAAAAAAATGCCCATGAAGACTCCTGGGATGTATGATATAATTTTGGACTAGGCCAGAAACAAGGAAGAAACTGAAGAAATGTAAAAAAAAATGTTTTTAAACAAGTAAATTTAATATACCTTCTTATTTATTTACTAATGCTAGCAGCATAAGGATTACAAATAGTTAATGTTGATTGAGAGAGTGAAGTTCAGCTTTAGGTCTCTGTTGTTTTCTGCAGATTTAATTTTGTTCCCCACATTTAGAAGTTATTTGGTGTTGGTGAGTGGTTGTCATTTTCTTACACTGCAGCCTACTTGTAGGAGTTGTTTCATGTTACTAACTTTCTTCTTGCATTTCCTTTCAGCTGTACCATTTCTCAGGAGGAAACCTGTCCCACTTCAGACAAAAGGTTGATGAATTGAGATTTAAAAGTGATTGAAATTGCATTGAACAGTGCTAGACCTTTTTAATAAGGTTGAGAAAAGAACAGTGATAAATCCAATTTGCTGTAATTAGTGCTAACTGATGATGTATCAGATTCCATCAGAATATTATTAGAATTTTTGTGAGGTTAGGTATATGATGGCAAACAGACCTTTTGCAGCTCATTCTTTGATTTATTTTATAAATCTAAGAGTCATTGACTTTTTATACTTAGAATCTTTTTAAACACAATAAAGATTGTATTATTACATTTCTGTGTGTTAACTTATAAACATGCAAAGTCATTTGGGGATGCTGTTACCGTGATCATCCTACAAATTTTTCAGCCATGTCCTAATCCTTTTGGAGACGGATTAAAAGTAATCAATTTATTATTATTATTATTATCCAGGATTTATATAGCACCAGCACATTGTGCAGCACTTTGCCATATAAATATATATATGTGGCGAGAGTATGCATGTAGTTCCCGGAGGATGAAGGAATTGATATCATTGAATGGGCCCCACGCTCGCCTGACCTAAATCCAATGAAACACCTCTGGGATATCACGTTTTGGTCCATCCAACGCTGCCAGGTTGCACCTTAGACTGTTCAGGAGCTCAGTGATGCCCTGGTCCAGATCTGGGAGGAAATACCCCAGAACACCATCCATCATCTCATTAGGAGCATGCCCTGATGTTTTCAGGCATGCATACAAGCACGTGGGGGCCATATAAACTACCATTTTGAGTTGCTGCAATGAAATTTCAGCAAAATGGACTAGCCTGCTGCATCATTTTTTCACTTTGATTTTTGGGGTGTCTTTGAATTCAGTCCTCTGTAGGTTGATAATTTTGCAGTACCAGGGCTGACCAGCGGGTGCTCTCAGCAGCCAGAAGCTCACTCCTGTAGTCAGCCAACACCTGGGGCTGATTGCAGGAGGTGTATTTAAGGAATGACCAGGCCTGTGATCAGGGCCTTGGTGTATGTTTCCCATGAGCCCCTGTACCTGGTATCCTGTGTTCCTGCCTTGTTGCTGACCCTGCTTTGATCCTGACCTCTGCTGACCGTCTCCTGTTGAGCCCCTGGCTTGCCTGACCATCCTTCTGCCTGATCCTCGGTACCGCGCTGCCCGCTACCTGCTGAACCTGGCTTGTGACCCCGACCATTCTCTGCTTGCTCCTCCTGTACCACGCTGCCCGCACGATACCGACCCGGCCTGCCTGACTACGCTTACTTCACCTGACGATCCTTCCATCCCGTACGGATCACCTTTAGTAAGTCTGCCTGCCTCTTCCCATCAGACTCCATTCCTGCACTCCCCTGCCAGTACTCTCTACTACAGCCGGACGCACTGAGGGGTCGCGACCTGGTTCCAGTCTGCACCAAGTCCATCCCCACCATCAGGGGCCTGGTGAATAGCAGGCTGGGACTTAGACCCCGCGCCCTGAGGAAATCCGTGCTGTGGGCTGCTAGAGACACTGCCAGGCGGCACCTGACAGTACCTTACAGCCTGCCTGAGCATTGCACCTCTCCAGCCTGACTACGCCTGTGTTCCTGAAGCCTGCTACTTCCCTGTGTCAGTCCACACATTTCTGGTCATACCTGGATCCCTAACAAAATCAGTATAGATATCCAGCATGATATTTTTCCCCATTGAGATCTGATGTGTTTTTCAAAGTGTTCCTTTAATTTTTTTGAGCAGTGTATATATAAAAGGAGACAGCATAGTACAATTCAAGGCAAGATGATTAGGCAGGCCCTACTTGTAATAGCTTCCAAGCAAGAAGGAAGGCAAGTGATACAAAAGGTAACAACTGTGAGCGATTAACTGATAAAGTAATAGTATAGTTTTTTTAGAAGGAGACGGGGTAGAATTCCCTAAAGAGATTCGATTTCAGGGATTACCCAAAGGCAGACAGAGTAGGAGAGAGATTGGGGTAGAGAGTTCCAGAGCATGGTGGAAGCTCTGGGGAAGTCCTAGAGGCAAGCAGGGGAGGAGGTAAGGAGAGGACTAGAGAGCAGGAGGTTGGTATGGTTTGGGTGATATTTTGAGAGGAGATGGTGATGTAGCTTTGGGCAGAGTTGCAGGTGGCTTTGTATGTTGCATTAGCATTTTAATTTTATTTGTTTGAAGTGGAAGGATTGGCAAGGGGGGTGGTAGACACTGAGCATTTGGTAATAAGTCTGGCAGCAGAATCTTTTTTTAGGCTGAATAGCCTGTGTAAAGGTGGGCTAATGAGAAAGGTAACATGGGAGTGAATTGGTAGTTTTGTGTTGTAATTTGTTAAGAATGCTTTTACATGGTTTAATTTTTCACACATGCAATTACAGTCAGGTCCATAAATATTGGGACATCGACACAATTCTAACATTTTTGGCTCTATACACCACCACAATGGATTTGAAATGAAACGAACAAGATGTGCTTTAACTGCCGCCTGTCAGCTTTAATTTGAGGGTATTTACATCCAAATCAGGTGAACAGTGTAGAAATTACAACAGTTTGCATATGTGCCTCCCACTTGTTAAGGGACCAAAAGTAATGGGACAGAATAATAATCATAAACCAACCTTTCACTTTTTAATACTTGGTTGCAAATCCTTTGCAGTCAATTACAGCCTGACGTCTGGAATGCATAGACATCACCAGACGCTGGGTTTCATCCCTGGTGATGCTCTGCCAGGCCTCTACTGCAACTGTCTTCAGATCCTGCTTGTTCTTGGGGCATTTTCCCTTCAGTTTTGTCTTCAGCAAGTGAAATGCATGCTCAATCGGATTCAGGTCAGGTGATTGACTTGGCCATTGCATAACTTTCCACTTCTTTCCCTTAAAAAAACTCTTTGGTTGCTTTTGCAGGATGCTTTGGGTCATTGTCCATCTGCACTGTGAAGTGGCGTCCAATGAGTTCTGAAGCATTTGGCTGAATATGAGCAGATAATATTGCCCAAAACACTTCAGAAATCATCCCGCTGCTTTTGTCAGCAGTCACATCATCAATAAATACAAGAGAACCAGTTCCATTGGCAGCCATACATGCCACGCCATGACACTACCGCCACCATGCTTCACTGATGAGGTGGTATGCTTAGGATCATGAGCAGTTCCTTTCCTTCTCCATACTCTTCTCTTCCCATCACTCTGGTACAAGTTGATATTGGTCTCATCTGTCCATAGGATGTTGTTCCAGAACTGTGAAGGCTTTTTTAGATGTCGTTTGGCAAACTCTAATCTGGCCTTCCTGTTTTTGAGGCTCACCAATGGTTTACATCTTGTGGTGAACCCTCTGTATTCACTCTGATGAAGCCTTCTCTTGATTGTTGACTTTGACACGCATACACCTACCTCCTGGAGAGTGTTCTTGATCTGGCCAACTGTTGTGAAGGGTGTTTTCTTCACCAGGGAAAGAATTCTTCGGTCATCCACCACAGTTGTTTTCCGTGGTCTTCCAGGTCTTTTGGTGTTGCTGAGCTCACCCGTTTCTTTTTAAGAATGTTCCAAACAGTTGTTTTGGCCACACCTAATGTTTTTGCTATCTCTCTGATGGGTTTGTTTTTGTTTTTTCAGCCTAATGATGGCTTGCTTCACTGATAGTGAAAGCTCTTTGGATCTCATCTTGAGAGTTGACAGCAACAGATTCCAAATGCAAATAGCACACTTGAAATGAACTCTGGACCTTTTATCTGCTCATTGTAATTGGGATAATGAGGGAATAAACACACACCTGGCCATGGAACAGCTGAGAAGCCAATTGTCCCATTACTTTTGGTCCCTTAACAAGTTGGAGGCACATATGCAAACTGTTGTAATTCCTGCACCGTTTACCTGATTTGGATGTAAATACCCTCAAATTAAAGCTGACAGTCTGCACTTGTTCTTTTCATTTCAAATCCATTGTGGTGGTGTATAGAGCCAAAAAATTTTAGAATTGTGTCGATGTCCCAATATTTATGGACCCGATTGTACATTAAAATGTGTAGATATTTTTATTCTCATATGGCTTTTCATCATCCCCTAATATTTTATTTTCTACAGTCCCTTCAGGGAAAGAAAACAAAAGCTGATAGTTGAGAGAATGAGATGATTGAGGAGGATTTGTGGGGGAATGGAAATTGATGTAATGCTCTGGAATAGGAGCTGATGGGGGGGCTAAAGGTTATGATGGAGCAGAGTGGTTTTATTCTTATAGTTTATATAATCCCTTCAAGCAGGGGGGCTGTTGTGGAACCAAAGGATCGTAGCTGGTGGTGAAAAGGTGAGGGTGAGAGGAGCTCATGGTGGAGTAGTACTGAAGCTAACAGTCCAAGGGGGCTAATGGCAAGGGAGGATACAGAAGCTGGTGGTGGCGGTAGAAGAAATAAAGTAAACAGGGTATGGGAACTGATGGTAGAACAAAGGGACAAATAAAACGCTGCAATTTCATCTAGTAGGAGTCAGGGCAGTAGGGATATCTGAAGAAAATGGGGTAAATAAAAGGTGGCTATGGCAGGGGTTTTAATGATAGCTTAGAGAGGGAGGCAGTGAGCTGAGTGCAGGACAGGGGCCCAAATATCAGAGAAGGTGAGCAGATGGGAAAGAGCTAGAAGATCAGAGGAGGAAAGTGGCACATGAGCTAAAGAGCGAAGTAGAAAATACTTTGGTGATGGATGAGTGTCCATGGGAATGGATCACAGATCAACAGTAAGAAAAGTGGATGTACATACATAACATACAGTGTGTTAGACCAGATTGTGGATGGCAGGAGCAAGACAGCAGGCATCAGGAGCAGATAACAGACAATAGGGAGGAGAATAGGGTCAGCAGGAAGGATCATAGTAGGAGGGAGGAGACAGGAGGAAAAATGAATGGATTGAGGATATGAAAAGGAAAAGAATACGCAGAAATGGCAAAGCAGGCACATGAGACATTAATGAACATTTAGTCCTCTTGTTTGTGTGCAGGATAAACAATTCATACCCTTTCTTGAATTGTGTGAAGTGATGCTGCCAAGGCCAGCATAATCAAATATACTG